CCCCAAAACCCCAAAACCCCAAAACCCCAAAACCCCATAACTCGAAATATGTTTGAATTTAGTTTAAATTTATTTGGTTTCTTCTACCTCTATCTTTACTTTGGAGGCAGCACAGATCTTTATGTTTTAGGAAAAGCATTTGAGATGAACGTGGAGCTTCTATCGTCTGTGCTGTTGGGAACTAAAACATGCTGCGACTCTTACCTTTGGATTGCGCTGAGCCTCACTTAGCCCTACCTTCGTGTGAAGTGGCTCTCTTCTGCGACAGACGGTCCGAGGCTTCTCCGACAGCAGGCCCTCCACCGATGGAGTAGTGCTCCTTGGGGTAGTTCTGGATGAAAGTCGTGTGCACGTTCTACAGATGAGTCGAGGCCTACCTTCTCGTACGTCTTGATGTCGAAGTACTGGTTGCGGTCCTTGGACTTCGCTTTCTACGCTTGAGACAAGCCTTACCAACATGTCGTGCTTGACAAGTCCTTTCGGATGGATCTGAGCCGGGTTGAAGTCGATCACTGGGTTCTTGATGATGTTGTAGTCTTGGTTCTGAATCAAGACGGTCTTGTTCATCATCTGCTTCATGTAGTTGAGACCTTTCTTCTTGCTCCTGGAACTCTGGTCGAGGTAGTCTCTGTTGCTGTACTTGACTTGTGACTTGTGTCCGCCATGCCTGTAAAATGCAAGTGTCTGGTTCAGCTTCGAGTTCGACTTGTGAGGGTTGGACATCCTCAAAATGTTTTCGAGCATGTCGGCGTCTTTGAAAGTGTTGTTGAGGTGGTTTTTCTTGGATTTCTTGCGTCCGTTGTGAGACTTAGACTTGACTTTGATTTTCTTGCTCATGGTATTGGAGCTGTTATTTGTGAAGAAAATTTGGTTTGAAGCTGGGCCCTGTGACACATCCGAATATTTCTTGTTTAGACCTCTTTGATGATCCTATTATTAATAAAAGCAGTTCTAAATCACTAGAACAGAAATATTGTTTCTCATGACTATTATTTATTCATATCGAATGCCAGCCAATCTTCTTCTAACTATTTTAGTTCTAACTCAATACATATGAAATCCAAAATTAAATATTACTCTTATAGCTTGACTTCTTATTTAGAATTTCTGTTTAGACTTTCCTTGCTTGACCTGTCTTCCTTATTATATACTACTTTTCCTTTTTGATTTTTCCCATTAGATCTACTCACATATGGGGAGTCTCTTACGTTTCTTTCTTTTGAGTCGTTCATCTTGGCATTCTGGATCTTCATACGTGCTTTGCGCTGGATCTTATTCCGTATCTCCTTCTCGATATTATTGGTGTAGGTGGGATTGGCAGCATAAAAGGTCTTGAACTGATTGTAGTGGAATCCTTGCTTGCTGATCCGCTCAGTCTCAAAATTCTGCTTCACTCTGTTATCATTTTTACTAGAATCGACACTTTTACTAATTAGAACCTCGTTATGGGTGTTATTTGAAGTCGAACCGATAGTTGTGTTTACAAATGCCCTATTTTTCTCTAGAACCTTTTATTTTCTTGAGATTTTGTAACTGTGGTACACCTTTGATGAAGTATTCCTTTCCACCCTTCCTGATCACGAACTAATAGAAGTTAGAGAAGAGACACACCTTAGTCTGTGACTTATTTTTAGAGTTCTTTTTGGCTAAAATATAATCTAACTTAGCCATCTCTTCAGGTTGTTTGAATATGAAGTTACATGGCCTACAGTTATTATCAAAAATTACTTCTTGTTCTTCACTGATTCATAATTTCCTTTCTTTAATAAGTAATTTATATCAAAAGGTTTATTTTTAGAAGGCTCAATGTTATATTTCACTGGTGAAGGTGAGGGAGAGTTCTTCTGAGGAACATTTCCTCTATTTGATACAATTATTTCACCCTCATTCATTGTATCCAGATCAACAGCGACCTTTTTCTCGAAATTAGAGATTCTCTGAATCTCCTTTTTGTTAAGTTTTGTGTTTGTACAATCTGTGCTACCTGTCCTTCTACTTTTAATGTAAGTAATATTCTTAGTCCGACCTTTAGAACTGGCAATAGTATTAGTCCCATTCTGTAAGTTCCCAACATTTCTAGTGTTGGCTGACATATTATAGTCAACAGTATGAAAATCTGACTCGTCAATTTCATTTAAATTTGAAATATCTGTATGATTGATGGTCTTATACTCCATGGACACGTCTTGTTTCTTCTTAACCCTCCTCTGATTTGACTTAGCCTTCGGGATAATTTCAATATTATTAATCTTAGCACTAGCTAGTGGATCCCTTTCCTTAAAATCTTCAAGAATCGGCTTATGTGAAATCTCAATAATTTTTGACTTAGGTTTTTCCCGTTTCTTAGTGGGTTCATAATTCATGAGAAGATCTATTAATTCCTGCTTTTCATTACACACCTCGTAATATTTATTGAACTTTTTGCCTTGTCGCTCAAATTCCTTCAGGCATTCTCCTTTCTTGTGTTTAAGGAGAAGGTAGTAAGTGCTTGTGACAGAGTTATGCTTATTCATCTGCACTCATTTCTCAGCATATTGCTGGTTGCATCCATAATCTTTCAAAACGGATATTATTTCCTTATTTATGGGTACAGGCTTCTTATCGACATTTACGCCTCCTCATGATTCACCAAGCAGGAATTCCTGGATATCTATATCGGTGAGATAAAGGCATACCTTCTTCTTGTAAGTCTCCGTTTATCGATGAAAGTGGCCATGGGAATGTTGACACTCTGTTAAACCAGGGATGGTTCATTATATTTGAAATTGTATATCTTTCGTCCTCATCGACATTCAGGATCTTGTTGATCAAGTCTTTAGCACCATTTGAAATAAATCTTGGAAGCTCATAATCTGCAGTCATAATTTTCTTATACAGTTTTTTGGTAACCGGATCTTCGAAAGGGAGGTATCCTCAAACCATAGCGTAAAGGACAACTCCTCAGCTCCAAACATCTACTCTGTCACCATGGTATTTCTTCCCAGCAATCATTTCAGGAGCTGCATAACAAGGGGATCCACAAGCTGTTTTTAGTAAATCTTTGCCTTTTACTTTATAAGCATTTGATAATCCGAAATCAACGATCTTAAGGTCCTTAGAGGCATCTAATAGAAGATTTTCTGGTTTAAGGTCTCTGTGGCATACATTCAGGCTATGAATATATTTGAGACCAAATACAAGACTTCTAAAATATTGGCAGGCAAGCTCTTCTCGTAGTTTATGTCTATCCACGATCAGATCAAAGAGTTCACCACCATCAGCAAATTCCATGATGAGATACAGTTGATTCTCAGTCTCAATGATTTCATAAAGCTGGATGACATTAGGGTGTCTGACAGATTTTAAAATTTTAATTTCTCTCACAATTCTATTGACATCGTTGTCATCTCTGATCTTGCTATTTCTCCAATATTTTGACAGCCACCTAGGAGTTAAAAGTTGTTCTTACCCTCTCTCCTGTTATAATGTGTGTACCATTTCTGACTTTACCGAAAGTACCTTGTCCAATTGCTCTTCCGAGCACATAGTGTCCGATATTCTTTTCAGATGTCGGTTGTTCAATATTTTTGTTCCTGCCCTTGGCAATGTAGCTCTCTACACTACTGTCTTCTTTTAGGGAACTTCCTTCGATAGATACTGCGCTAACTATAAATAATACAATAAATTATGAGATATTTGTAGGTGAGAGGTCTTTTATAGATCTTTGATAGAGGCCCAGAAAGAAGAATAAGTCTGAAAATGTAATGAAATTCAATCTATAATACATCTTTTTTAGAAATTTCTTGAGTTATCTGAAGGCTGTATTCTTTAAAATCATATTGAAACAACCCTTCTACCTTAAAACCCTGACTTGATCCAAACGATGAGGCTAAAGATTGTGTGTGTCTTTTACTTTACCATGAGCATTGTGAAGGGAAAACTACTAACCCTTCTCACTTCTAAAGCTCTTACAAAATATGCTAATGACCTATCCTAACTCAAGTTCTAGATTTAGCAAAGGCTAATTCTTGAATACTACTGAAGTCCATCTAACCCAAGCACTTCAGATCGCTCCAATTTCCTATATTCCACCAAGTAAAGTTTTGAATCTTCTTTCATGAGCTCATCATAAAATTAATAAGAATTATTGCTTCAATCATTTCTCGTGTATTTGAACAAGTTAATTCCTAATGCTACTATTCTAGTAATAAACTCGTGCTTTGATGGCAATACATTAGATCTGTTGGTGTCAAGATATACTCCATGTTTGAATACCTAGGGTATTTATCATAAATTTTTTAAATTAGACATATAATCATCAGATGTAGGGTAGTGAACAATAAAATTATCCATAATCTGAACAGTCTGATAGAGATTTGGATTTATGATAGGGGAATCGATTTAGATAACTTACATTCTTCTTGATCTATCTTGCTGTCTTCCATACCTTCTGAATCCATCTTAATTCAAATTTTCTTCTCGTAAATTAAATATTCTATAATCAATTTTATACAATTGTCTTGGGGTTTTGGGGTTTTGGGGTTTTGGGGTTTTGGGG